GCTACAATAAATTTTATATGTGTTTTTGTATTGATATGTTGAAATAAGGGAGGATTGTGTTTGTACGGTGGGATCGGATTGCGCGCCGCAGCGGATTGTATGTGTTGTACTCATTGTTGTATTGTGTTAGCTTTTAGTATTTTCATATGATATTCTGAGGGATGATATTTCTGGATTCACTGATTTCGAGGATTGAGTTTGTTTTCATTAGTTAACTGTTTTCCCGTCAATTCTTGTTTTCCTTTCCTATTATTAATATTATTATTATTAATATTATTGTTGTTGTTGTTGTTGTTGTTGTTGTTATTGTTGTTGTTGTTATTATTANTTAAGAATTCTCAAGTATGTTAAAATAGAAGTCTTTAACTGGTGGAAACCTTCCAGACATATAAATGTCAGATGAGAGGTGCGAAACAAGTCCAGTTCCCGGTCAAACGGTGATTTCTGTTTTAGCTTAGTTGAGAAGGCCGTGCGGATTACCGCCCGCCACTTGATCCTGTTAAAGTGGTATCAGAGCCTAGGTACTTTCATGGTATATATAAGATAGATATGAAATATTCGACATAGATAGGTACTTTATTATTATTATTATTATTATTATTATTATTATTATTATTATTATTATTATTATTATAATAATAATAATAATAATAATAACACTGCGTACAAGTCATTATAAGTGACCCGCTTTAGCCTCGTCACTACTTGGTCGAGGTTAGGCTCGGAACATACAGAGTATATGGGATCGGTTGTACTCATACTACACTGCACTTCTTGTGCAGATTTTGTAGTCGGTCCTAGCGGCGGTCAGTAGATTGCTCGGATTTGGTGAATTGCGGAGACTTGAGGTACAACTGCACAACGTTCACAGCCCTGAAGCCCCCCTCTACATTACTCTAGTTGTTTATTTCATTGCAGATAGTTATGCTTTCATTCAGACTATTATTTGTAGTACCCTAGTCGCCCGTGTACTTGTGACACCAGATCTGGAATTGTATCTAGATATCGTTGTTATTTTAGTTTACTCACTCTATTTCAGTTTATTCAGTTTCTTGGTTATCATTTAATTTGAATTGTTAAAAATAGTTAAAAACTATTTCTAACGTTGGCTTGCCTAGTAAGTGAAATGTTAGGCGTCATCACGATCCCGAGGGTGGGAATTCCGGGTCGTGACAATGTTAGACTATATATAGTTTGGCAATGAAGATAAAAATTACTTAGTCCATGAAGTCCTTTAGCGAAATGCCGTTTGCCTTTTTTACCCTTTAAAAATAGAGTTCATACGAGATAAAATAGTTATTTAATTATTTTTTTAATTTTAGTTATTTAAAATCTAATATCTTTTATTTACCAAATCCTTCCTTATTTGCATTGTGTACAAAATCTTAATATTTAAAACTTAAAAATCTATTCAGATTTCATCATATCAATTAAATACAAACGTAGAATAAACACATAAAATTATCACTAACCTAAATATCTCAACCTTTATGCAAATTATCTTACACATATAAACCAATTGACGATGGAAAATTATTAAAAGATAATGAATACTTATGTAGGTCTACTTATATAATTAAATAAAGAAACATATATAAATATTCTAGCTCTATATGTCATATAGGAGTGTTAAAATAAAAATACAATCATGTACAAATTGAAAATAAGGAAATATCGCATATATATAGGAAAATATTAGACTTGTGTAAGATAAAGTGTCTTACTTTATTGAGTAATTAAATTATTAAGATCAATAATCATTATATTTAAAAATTAATATTTTTTTTCATTTTTCTTTTATAGTAACTCGAACATAATTTTTAATATAAAATTTATATAATTCTTTTTAAAATTTTATACTCATTAAGCGAAATTACAAGCGCAATGCGCATACCCTAAAATTAGTTAGATAAAAAGAATGTGGATGATATGATATCTTTCCGCTTCAGATGTGTTTCTTTTTTATAAATTTTACTTTTTAGTCATCTATAAGACAAATTGTTTAAATTCTTTTAATCCTTTTTTTTTTCCAACAAATTATTTAATCCTGACCTACTCTCTAAACAAACACAGATTATACCAATAATTCCTCTATTAGCTCCTACTACGTCGTGCAGTTAGGCTATACCCAACTTTAAATGTAGACTTGAATTTTTTATTAGTCGAAGTCGATATAGACACACTATTTCTTTTTCTTTTTTCCATCATATACACAAGATTTCCTCCAAGTAGGAAGTCTACCGCATTCGGTTATATTATCTGCCTTTTAAAATTTTATGTATTTTTTTAATAAAACATATTTAAAAGTTTTAATCATAACAATACTTGTATAAACTATTCTTTATTTATCATTAAGCGTCTCACTTAATTAAAACATAAGGATATCTGGAAGGAAAATAATGACTTTGTGTTTTCTAATACGTCAGCTGTTTAATAATAATTTAAGTTTATCAAACGATTAATATTTGGGATCGAAGGAAGTACATACTTTCCCCGAAGCAAGGACTATATATACATGGACAACAGCAAATGAATTGCATGGTTGGAGATTTCGCTACTGTGGAAATTAATTATGATAACTAAAAATGTATTACATCTTTGATTTTTATTATCTAAAAGCTAAGACAGAGTATTCGCAAGATGAAAAAATATATTATCAAATGTAACGATCGTTATGAAAGGGAGCCTTAGAGCAACAGTAAAGTTGTCTTCGTGTAATTTATAGGTCAAGAGTTCGAGCCGTGAAAATAACCACTAATACTTGCATTAGAATAGGCTGGCACGCCTGTTAGGTTGCGATCCTTTCCCGAACCCTGTATGACTGTGGAATACGTTATGCATCAAACTGTCCTTTAACGATCCTTATGCAAGGGGACAAGGTAGAGCAAGTAATGAACAAGCATGCACGTAGCCAAGAAATTAATTTTGATTACAGTATTTTGGTGGCTAGAGATATTTATTTTAAGCATAGTCCTAAGATATATTTTTTGATTCTATCAATATCTTTTTGGATTACTGCCTTAGTTAAACAATAAGGTGATCAAATCCCTTATCCGAAATGGTCAACCTTATTACCTCCAAGAAGTACATGCCAAGTAATAAACTCCCAAAATAGAAGTTAGAACTGCTTTTTGTGAATTTGGTTCAATATTTCTAGATGTTCACAAAAGAACAAAAATAAAAATATCTTATAATATGATTTGAAAAACCATACAATACCATGTCACGTTTTATGACCGTGCGTAGCCACAAGGAACTTGTATCAATTGTCTTATGTAACTAAAAAATACACTCTTTGACTTTTTAAGAAATTACATTATTATTACTTAGAGAGGTCATAACTATCTTTTGTTCTGCTAAGCTTTTTTCCTCAATTGCATTTTTCGAAAAATTAACTATAAAAATTGCAATTTATAATTTTTTTTATGGAGTTCAAAATATGTAGATATTATTTAAAAATNTTTTTTTGGAAAGAGTAGTTGCAAAGGTTGATGCAAGTCAAAGGAGATTCTCCTTTTTAGAACTCAGACTTACGTATTATAGTTAACGTATTAGATAGCGGCGGAAGTAGGATTTTTACTACAGGGATTTAAAAAATTTAAAAAGTGGATGGGAAAAGAAGTAAAGGGAATTTAGCATCTAATATATTTACATGAAAAAAAAATTAATCGTATATATACAATGTAATTCTCGGATGAAGGGATTTAGGCAAAACCTCCTTCCGCCCGCCTAGCTACGCTCCTCGTATTAGGTTAGGCCAGTTCCTGATATTATTCTCGAGGAATTTCACCTAATCCTTCTTTAGGTAAACTTGGTTTCTGGATTTAAAGTAAAGGAAAATTTCCTTGTCAACGCATGACGTTATTGTGGTCTTAGTGAACCAAAAAATTTGCATAATTTCAACAATTTATTCAGTAATTACATAGCTAAGGCCTAAGGGGAATACATATGAGAATGAAGTGGAGTTATTGCAGTTACATATGTTTCCCCTTTCTAAAGAACTCAAGTGTGTAGTTAGTAGGAAGAGACTTTTCTGATATCCATCACTAACTCAAAAAAAAAAAAAAAAAAAAAATTATGAATTTGGATACTTCTCAATAGTTCTAATATGGTATTTCTTTATATTTTTTCTTTTAAAAAGATGAAGAACGACCAAAAATAAAAGCTGATTAACATACGTTCTAACTCAAATCCGATGAAATTTCGGCAAAATAAAAGGTTTTACAAATTATGGATCAAAATTGACACATTTTAGTACCAGTCTTCGCAAATGACTACGATGATAATTGAATTTGCATGACCAAATTTATTTCCTACACTAGTGATATAGCCCGCTCTTCGCGCGGTTGTAAATAACATTAGTAATTTATTGCAACTGATATTGCTGTAAACATTTTCGAGATAGAATAGATTATATTTTTCGTGTATATGCATATAGTAACTTTTAATATCTCAATAAATTATTAAAAGCTCATATTATATATATATATATATCACAAATTAAAGTCCATTTAAAATGGTTAAAAGAAGGGAAAAACATAACAAAAGTTGGAGACATATTCGGCGAGGCCGTAAAGCATGAGTCAACTGACAACAATTAATTATGAGAAGTTTTATTTTGTGTCTCATACAACTAACACTAGTTGTATGATGTTCCTTTTTGTCTCATAAATTTGTGAATCCCAATCTTACACTTCTGGGTCCACAAAACTGTGTGACAAAAAAGATGCCTCATACAACTAGTGTCAGTTGTATGCGACACAAAATAAAATTTTCCAATTAAATATGTCTCTTAGATAGTCCTTATCACAATGAACAATTGTACAAGCAGTGGCTAAGATAACAATTTAAAAAATACAATACTTTGTACTGTAAATCACCAGCCAAGAGTGTAATAAAGGTTAGTTTTGATATATCATTACTATCTTGAGACAAATTAAGCAAAATATTTTTTTTAAAAAAGAACCGGAATTCAAGCAACATATTAAACAGAGGGATTATAAAGAAGGAAATGTTAGTACGATAGACTACAACCGAAAACGAAAAAAGGATGATGAAGCTTACAATGCTATAGTAGAGGAGGCATCAATAAGTCATTATGCCACTACTATACGACTGTTTCAAGTTGAATAGGAATAAGGTTTGTACTAAGAGTTTTTCAGTATAATTTGACTGTTGTTTTTCTCAATAGACCTTGATGATCTAAATTTTCCTCTAAAGTCTAAAGTCTAAACATGCTTTATAACCCTAAAATCCAAACTCTGCAGCTGCTTTTGTTGGTATGATGCGACGATCCAGCGGTTTGAATATCTCAAGCCAAGAGCTCATGAGTAATACCAGAAGTTTGCTCTAATTTAAAATCCTTGGAGAGAAGGCATTCCATATTAAGTCCATTCTTCGATTAAGATCTAACTTCATTGAGAGGAACTACATGAATACACACACAGAATTCAACCTTCTTTCTAAAGTTTAACTCCCATCATTTGGAACATAAATTGCAACTAATGACTAATATTTGAGTTTTTGAAAGATTTGAAAAAGTAAGGTTGGAAATATTTTGAAAATTTTACTCTTTGTTGGGCAAAACAGATAAACAACCTTATCCATGTTTGCAAAGTCAGATTTTGCAAACTCTAAAACAAATACCATCTATGTAATTTACCTTAATTTGGTGGTGGAGGGATTGCACCTGGTTAATGATCTCACCAAGTATCAATCAATAGTTTTTCCACACATCTAATTTAAAAAATAATAAACTAACCATATCAGAATTCTATATATTTTTCTCTTAAAAATAATAAACTTCTTGATAGGCTCGTAGCAATAACAGAAGCTAGTATCTGTATCCCAAGACCTTGATGTAGCATTGCATCAAATTCTTCTTGCTTGTTCTACTAACAATAACTTTATTTTGGCTTTAGATAACGTTTGATTTGACCTTCCATTGTATCCCAAGCACTGAGTAGGCAAACACATAAAATTATTTAAAAAGTAAAACATGTATAAACTGCATTCTCCTATACTCTATGAGAACATATTTTAGAAGTTATTGAACTAAGCTTATTCTACTAACAATAACTTTATTTCGGCTTTAGATAACGCTGGTTTTGACCCTCCATTATTAGTAATGTGGCATCACGATTTTACAACATCTTGCAAGTCACTTTAGCTATATATATATATAGTGTATGCAAAATACAGTAATGAATTTGAGAAGGCACAAGGATTAGTATACATCCATTACTCATTTTTTTAATAGACAATATTAGAAACTGAAAAGGATGAGAAGATTAATTGAAGACACTTAATTACTCGCAATAATTAGCAAAGGGGTGTGATAACTTGATGTAATTTTACAATTATAAGAGCAGGGAAAAATATGCAACATTAATGCAGAAAAAGGCAAAAATTGAAAATATAAAGTTAACAAATTGGATTGAAGAAAGCGAGAGAAAGAAATGATATTCTTGCACAATGTGCTATGCCACATCAGTTAGTTTAATCTCAAGAGTATTTAAACTCTAAGTATGCCAAAAAAGGAAGAAAACATGGAAATTAGTATACTTTTTGCAAAAAGAAGTGGACTAATTGTATCAATAATGTTCTAGGAAGGAGGCAATGTCATACAAAATCGCTTGTACGTGAGAGAAATTAATCAGAATAATTTTCAAAAGTTTTATTAACTGGTGTCAAGCAAGAGAGGAATCTGTCTTGGTCCCTCTTAACAAACTTCACAATTGCTCCATCTGTTGTGTTTTATCAGATATATTATAGCCCATAAGGAATTTGTCCAAATACCAAGCAGCATGAAGAAAGAAACAAAAAGAGATGTCTTCAACCATGCTTGCTGGATTAATAAAGAGTTCATAAAGATTCAGCAAAAGAGAAAATTGCAATAGTTATATTACTATGAAATGACAGAGAGTGATTGTTGCTAACCTAAAACTGCTCAATTGATGAACGGGTTGAGATGACAGAGAGCATGAGAGTAGATGTAGGTACCATCTTCAGCCTGAGGGCATTTTGCGGTGATAGGAGGAAGAGATGGCAGCATCATCTGGCCGTTGGAGCACGTTCAGTAAGCATACGACATAATTTTATGAAGATCAGATCAGACTTCGTATATTTTCTAGACAAAAAACCGTCATATGCATAACACATACACAAATCGCATTGAATTGCTAGTTTTCAAATAATAATTGCATAAAAAATGAATGAATTAGAGCTGAATAATACTTCCTTACCTTTTTCATGGCAGTGCTTTCTGCCGTTGTTATCTTCGTCACTGCAAAATTTTGCAAAATTGTTTAGATGTTAATGCTGAAATAGAAGAAGGCAAATATAAACGTGCCCACAACAAAAATAAAATTCTGAAGGTGATTATGATGGTTGCGCCTCAACTGCCCCAAACCCACATCAAAAGGACGAGGAAAGCCCCNTATATATATATATATAGATTAGTGTAAAACCAACTTTTTGAGACCACTTACTAAGTGCCTCCCAAAAATGTATGCAAGACATCAATTCATCATGCTAATAAGAAAAATGACATTGGATAACCGTTTTAAAAATAATAGTCAAAAAGTATATTTTTATATATTATTTTATGTATAAATATTTTGTATGTTTAATACAAAAATTATTCAAATTTATACATTTTTTAGTTATTGAATATAAATAATTTTTGATGCGGGCTAAAACTGAAAAAAGCTCATGCTTATACAACCTTTTGCTGGCCCAAAAAGTTTGTTGTGAGTTGTTCGTAAGAGTCAGCCCACGTTTCATCGTTGCATTGGGCTTATAATGCATATTTGGGTGAATAACAATAAGATACTTTTGTACCACTATTGATTTTTTGACCACCGTAACAGAAGATTTGGGAATATGGCCCGCTACCATGATTTTAAAGCACGTTCCTGACGGTCCGAATTTGTAGTCAATCTTGGTGATCATCATAAGACACAAACATTTGACGGATCACCACAAATTTTCAGCATTGTGGCTGCAAATTTTGGTAACCGTCAGAATTTCTGATGCTTAAAATAATCTACGAATGTATAATATATATATAATTCATATATATTTTTAATTTTCAGAACTTCTGACGAATGCCAAACTTTTCAACCATAATGCGTAAAATTTCTGATTATCCGTCAAGTTAAGTTATTCAAAAGACGGCTACTTAATAATAAGTTGTATTAGTTGAAACCTCTAGATACTGGAATGCACTTTTCTTGATTGTGAAGTTCAAGAATTGGATTGTTAAACTTAGGTGATGGTGGGATTAATGTATCTATGGATGTGGAAATATTTTTCCAGTGGTACATATCATGTTGAGTTATTTACCATGTAATCTTGTAAGAAATTGAAGAAAAGGTTGTGAAATTTGCTGTGTACTTCATCATCTTCCTGTACATCCTTATATACAATTGCTAAAGAATCAAAAGAATATCAGAAAAGAAAATATCTGTACACTTGTCATATCTAATTGGCCTACTAATAGCTAAAATATTCTTCCTAGTAACAAACTTATATTCCCTCACATGAGGGAAGCTTCTAGTGTTTAATAAATCTGAAGGCCACTATTTAATCCATCAAGAATTAGACTTGTATGATCCAAAGGCTTTCTTTGCTCCACGTTTCCAAACCAGTCAACCAGTAAATATAACCCAAGTCACTTAGGTTATATCGAAAACCCTTGTCAGAACAAAGAAACATCTCTGCTAGACGTTCTTCTTCTTTATCTCGTCTTCTTCATCTCGTCTTCTTCATCTTCATGATATGTAGACGAAGATCCATGAATGTCACAAATAGGATAGGGTTTCTTCTTCTCAACATCCCTCCTCAAGTTGGAGGGGAACGTGGTGACCCCTAACTTGCTCAAAATGTCTCGATGAGAAACCCCAGAAAGAGGCTTTGTGAAGATATCTGCGAGTTGAGCCTTGGAGGGAACAAAAGAGAGAGTGATTAAGCCCGAAAGAAATTGCTGACGCACAAAGTGACAGTCATTTTCCACATGTTTTGTGCGTTCGTGAAAGACGGGGTTACGAGCGATGTGTATTGCTGCTTTGCTATCAGAATGAAGAGGAAATGATAGAGTGACTGGTGCAGATAGATCATCAAGAATTCGAACTAACCAGGTAAGCTCAGCAGTAACCCTTCTTATAGATCTATATTCTGCCTCTGCAGATGATAAAGAAATTGAGGCTTGCTTCTTCGATTTCCACGATATAGGTGCACCTCCTAGAGTGATGAAGAATCCACTAACAGACCTTCGTGAATCTTTGCAGGAAGCCCAATCAGCATCACAAAATGCAAGCAAAGAAAAAGATGGCTCGGCTGAAAGTAAAATCCCTTGTCCCGGATCAGAGCTGAGATACTTGAGTACTTGCAAAGCAGCAGAAAAGTGGGAAATACATGGTTTCTGCATGTATTGACTGAGGGTGAGAACAGCAAAAGAGAGATCTGGACGTGTATTTGTTAAATAATTTAACTTTCCAACCAAATGACGATAGATAGTTAAGTTCTGCAGGTATTGACCATCATCAGCTTGAAGCTTGGATGAGGGATCCAAAGGAGAGCTGACTTGAGTCAAATGTGATACATCAAATTCCTTCAGCATGTCTAAGGTAAATTTCCTCTAACTCACCATAAATCCTGCCTTTTCTCTCAAAATTTCCATGCCTAGGAAATAATGTATGTTTCCCAAATTCTTGACCTTGAATTCAGTATTCAAAAAAACTTTGATCCCTTGAATTTCATCTAAATCATCTCCTGTAATCAGTATGTCATCAACATAGACTGCTAGGATAGAAATAAGACTCCATGTATGCTTAAAGAACAAAGAATAATCATTCAATGAGGAAGAATATCCCTTAAAACTCAGAGCTCCAGCAAGTCTAGCATACCATTGTCTAGATGCTTACTTTAAACCATATAATGATTTCCTCAAGAGGCAGACATGTTTGGGACTAGGAGGATCCAATCCTGCTGGGAACTTCATGTAGACCTCTTCTTGTAGGTCTCCATGCAAAAATGCATTGTTGACATCCAACTGAGAAACAGTCCAATCTTTCTTGGCTGCAACAGTGAGAAGACACCTTATGATTGTCATCTTAACCACTGGTGAGAAGGTCTTACTATAATCTATGCCTTCTCTTTGAATATTCCCCCTTACTACCAATCTTGCCTTCAATCTTTCAACCTTGCCATCTGATAAACTTTTCACCTTGTATACCCATTTACAAGGTAAAGCCCTTTTCCCTTTAGGTAACTCAACCACATCCCAAGTGTGGTTGTCTTCTAGAGCTTTAATCTCTGTATTCATAGCTTCTACCCATCCTGGATGTTGGCAAGCTTGGGTAAAGGTGCAAGGTTCTGTTAGGGTAGAAATGGATTGCATGACATGTTGGTTATTAGTGAGAGAGATGAAAAATTACATTCTTTAGGCTGATAGGGGTGAGTGAAATAGGCTGTAGCTATATCTGTGAACATGATGCTACAACATACAAAATCTTTCAAGTAAAATGGTTGAGTAGATACACTTCCTGATCTTCTCAAAGGAATAGGGTCTTGAGGCATAGGGGTAGGTGTCCTAGTGTGTGATGACTCCAGACCAGTAGAGACTTGAGTTGGGCTAGGTGATGCTGACTGCTGAAGAGGTGAGTAAGGAGGGGTTGATGGTTGTGGTGAAAAACCATTTGTTATTTCTTGGTCTGAGTAAGTAGATTGTGTTTAATATGGTGACTTGACTGAAAAGGTAGGTTCTGTATTGAAGGTTGAAGTTGGAAAAATAGGATGGTGTGCTAAGTTGATTTCTATAAAGGGGAAGTGTGATTCATGAAACTTTACATCTCTGGACACAAAAACGTTCCTTGTGGACACCTCCAGTAGTTTGTATCTCTTTTGTTGGAGAGGATAGCCAAGTAAAACACAAGCTGTTGCCCTCTCATCAAACTTCCCTCTTCCTTATGACAATGTAGAAGCATAACATAGGCATCCAAAGTTCCTCAAATAATCATACTTGGGTTTGTGTTGAAACAATATTTGATATAGTGTCTTTCCTTAAAGAACTCTGGAGGGAAACCTATTTAGAATATGTGTAGCAGTTAGAATAGATTCTCCCCAATAGCACATAGCAGCCTAGATTGAAACATTAGACCTCTAGCAATTTCTAAGAGATGTCTGTGTTTCCTTTTAACAATTCCATTCTGTTGAGGTGTTGCCACACAAGATAACTGATGCAAAATTCCTTCTGAAGCCAAAAAGGCTACTTACTGTGTGCCTTTCCCCAATTCTAGTGCATTGTCAGACCTTATCATCCTTACTTTCACATTGATAAACTTATATTTCCTAGCATGTACTAAAGTTTCTTTTCTATTGATGTTGGAAAAATAAAAATATTCTTGCAATTTGCTTGCCTTTGTAATTTTCTCCAGAATTCCATT